TTACTTAATGTGCCACCTAGATCAGCCTCCCTGAACTTGGTGCCTTCCAAACGGTTTATTATTACAATTCCCATCAGCCCCTGCCAACACAACATATGGTCAAATATTATGATTATTGCCATCCAAATCTTTGCAGGCCACCAGGTCAGGGAAGGCTGAGGCAGGCATTTATAGCGCAATCCTATATACATCTGCTCAGAAGTAAGCTTCATGGAGTTCAGTGGGCTTTCTCCCAGGGAAGTGAAAATATATTGCAATGTACTTAGATATCGTCACAATTTTTAAAATAAAGCATTTATAGCCTGTTCTGAGCTTTTCTACATGAGGCAGTATCCACAGTATCTGCTTTCAGTTTTGTCAGAATTGACACCTGAGCATTGCATAAAGTGTCTCCTTTCCTGTTTTTCCACTACATAACCTCTAGGTGGCACTGTGATACAGTGGGTCAGGGCAAATCCACACGTGAAAAAGAGCTTTCACAATTAAATGCTGCCTTTTCCTTGCACTTTTATTAAATCTTTAACCCACCTATTAGCCATTAGGCTCCCAAGCTATAGGGCAACACAACAGGAGGTTCACAGGTTCCTGGCTTTTGCTTTATAGGCTTTTGCATTGGAGAACTCAAATGAGCTTCACAATGTTTTAAAAATGAACAAATTTCTTGAAGTGCAAGTTTTTTGTGATCCTCAGTGTGTTCTGTCAAAAGTGGGACAGCCACCTAATTGATAGGTATAAAACCAGGAATACACAGAAGAATGGGATTGACTAGCCAAGCAATGTAAGAGAGAGGAACAGTTGTATCACATCAGTATGCAGAGCACAAATACAGACTGGATTCAATCTGCCAAATATCACACCCAATTAGAGTGGGTGTGACCTATTTCCAGCTAGAGAACACTGATGAGGAACTGGTGCAGCAAGGAGTAGTGTCAATAAAGAGGTAATTTAGGTAGTGAGGCAGTTTCTGTGCGGTCCAAGTTACACCACCTGCAATGTGCTGGTGAGTTCTGGGGCAGCAGCTTCAAGCTAAGAGTTTCTTCTTTGAAAAGTTCATTGTTGAATAACAGGCATCTTGAAATATCTCTTAACTTACATCACCATAAATGTATTTAAAATGATAGGTCTATTCCAAATTAAATAAATATCCAAATAGCAAAACAGGGCAATCTCTGCATTAGGCCTGAATAAAATGTCACAAAATAACGAAAAGCCTTCTCTAGTATTCTTCATTTAAGCAAACCTACAAAATTGCAGGTAGGAATGGAAAGACAGAAGGTGGGTGTGATGGAGAAGGCCCAGCACCTGCTCTTTGTAACAGTCTTAGGGAGGCATTTTGAAGACAGGTCAGACCGGACCTCCCAAAGTTGGTCCCCTCCAGTTGCGCTGGACTGTATCTCCCAAACATCCAGGATTCCTGGGGAAAGTTGTAGTCCTGGCAAGCAGGAGGCTGGAGGAGGCTGATCAGAATGTGTGAGGCGCAGAACAGATTTTGGGCTGCCCCAGTGGCTACTCGGGCAAAAACACAAACATAACAATGGTTGTGTCCCCGTGACTACTGACTGAGAGGGATTTTTTTCTGATACCCCAAAACTTATTTGTTTCTGCTGTGAAAGACTAATACAAAACTCCTCCTAGGATTTTGCTGAATGTATAGACACTGGTGTTTCTGGAATGGAGACGGCTGAAGGTACAGCCTGGATCTCTTGTTATGTTCCATCATGATAGTCAAGCCTAGGACCACCCCTTTGTGGGACACTTCAACATGGTTTCTGACCTTCTTGATTAGCTCCTCTCCAGAAATGGCTGGATTTCCATCCATACAGTGCTTTGCTTGTGTATGAACGTGGGTGTGCACATGGAATTTCTCGAGTTTTGGGTAGAGACCCCAGGGATCCTGGAAAGAGCAATTGAGAGCAGGTACCATTTCCCCTTAAATATAGGAATTTGGCTTGGGCTGGCAGAAAATGCTATCTGAGGGTCAAGGGCCCCTGGAAATCAGGCAGAGGCATGATTTACTTTGAGCAGAGCCCATGGAAGGATGATGCTGGAGGTGGGATTTTAAGGCAGCTTTCCCCAAGCCAGTGCCCTCCAGATATGCTGGACTACAACTGGAGGCTGGAGAATGCTGGGAACAGTAGTCCGACATAGCTGGAAGGCACCAGATTGGGGAAGGCTCTTTGAATTGATCCTTCCCATCACCCACGTTACCCGAAAGCACCCCAACCCCACAATACAGAGCTGCAGTGCTTTTTTTGCCAGACCTGTTTGCTTCCATGTGATGGTGGAGTAGATTTTTACTCAGAGAGAACAGACACTCACAAACATCTAGCATGTGTCAAGAGATTTATTGAACTTCTCACCTGTCTGGGAAATTTACATCCAGTGAAGAGACAAAGGCTTTATGATTCCCTCTTGCACTCCCAACCATCCCATAAAAACTGTGCTTCTCTGAAATAATCCTTAAATACTTTTTAATATTAGAAAAAATGCCCTGCTACCCCACCCACAGAAGGCTTTACTCTCCGGGAAAATATTTCTGAGTGTCCTGCAAAGCACAGGTCAATAAATAAATGCAACGTGACACAGAGGGAGAGATGCCAACCCAACCCTGCCACTCTTGGGACTGCGGAGGAGGCCTCAGAGTCATGCTGCTCGCAAGGGACACGGACACTCCCGTTGCCAGTGCTGGGCTGTCCTGATGGCAGAAGTGGGGAGAAGAGGCTGTATCAGGCAGGAGTGTGGAGAAGGGGCAGTTTCTGGCTCCAACTGGTGCAAAGTGCTCTGGAATTCAGGCGTGATGCCCTGCGAGGAAACAACTGCAAGCATGGGGTGTAATGGAGGCCTAACTCCAGGCTGCTTCACCTGAGACTGTTTCCAACATGGATATTATTTGCATGCAGCAAACACTGAGTACAAGTCAAAAGTTACTAGCCCGGGGGGGGGGGAATTATTAGCAAGTCTGTTCACAAAACGACAAACACTTCGTGTTTTTGGCACATTGACATTGGGGTATGTGTAGCGGGACAGAACAAGCACACTTTCTTTTCCAGTTTAGGAGGCTTTACTGTCTGGTCACCTGGAAGCCATTCTCATCCACCGCGCAAAGTCAAGCAAGTGGCAAGTGATATGCCTGATGCAGTCCGCCAAACGCTTCTGCTTTCTCTATGTCCACACAACCCAAAGCAGCAGCTTCACAATGCATGTGTGCATACGCCACTGACCAGGTTTGGGAGAGCTCATCGGACACGACTGAGTACATGCAAACTGTGCATGTGCAGAACTATCTTTGAAGGAGTTTGTGTGTTTGTCAAATTTAATTTACCCCTGGCTTGACCATGAGAGTGACCCTCCACATTACCTTAGCAAACACACCTTCCCAAGCCCATGTTTACTAGAGTATTGTGAATGCTGGGGTGTATGAGAGGCAGGGGAGCACAACTGTGCAGGGACAAATTCATCCAAGGATACCCCCACACACACTTGCAAAGGTCCTCCTGGGTTACCCACCCCCACCATCCCAGGATGCCTGGCTTAAAGAACAACTGGTTGGGGGAAGCACTGCCCATGCCTTCTTCCCCACTGATTCCCTCCTGCCAATTCCCAGTGGGTTCACTGAGAAATCACGCTTTTCATGACCTTTTCTAGAAAGCTACAGTGGGGGTGCTCACAGAGGCCTGGGCATCAGAACTACAACCCAGTGCTAGGCAGTCCTGCTGCTTGGACGTGGTGAGCATGGAAGCCAAGAGCCCAGCTGAACACCTGCCCCCCTCCCCCCGGCAGTACCTTCAGAGCCAGCCAGAAGTTTAGGCAACCCTAATGGAACCCATCTAGCTCCTCACCACCACTTTGCCCATCCACAAGCCAGGGATTTCCAGCTCTCTTCTCTGGACATGGTTTTGGAAGGAGTGAGTTCTCCCTAATTAAACTGCATTATCAATCACCACTGGCCAGCACAGTCAGGTGAGTTACTTTAAGCACAGAGAAGGGTTCTCTCTCTCTTCCCTCCACTTCATGCTCACCCTTGCCATTCTTTTGCTACACATCCATGAGGAGAGGAGGGATTCCCGGAATTTGTGTAGGGGATGGTGAGGAGAGACAGTAAGGGCTGCAATTTCCCAAGACTAAGTCTAGCAATCCAGAGGCAAGTGTGTGAGCTCATCAAGAACGCTCCCTCTCTGCTGCAGCGATGCACAATTTGTGGGATGTGGATTTGTGGGCAGGTGTTTGGCCTGCAACTTCCATCAGCCCTAGGCAGCACAGCCACCAGAAGGGAAGATGGGAGTTGTAGGCCAAAACATCTGGAGAGCAACAAGTTGCCCTTCCCTGCACCTACTGCCCTAACCTAGTCAGCATCCCCACCCCATACATGCCCCTGAACCTTATTGCCCAAAAGCCCAGTGGGCAGGTGGCTGGAGGTAACGCTCTGCCTTCAGCACTCTGATAATGGAAGAATCCCACAAGTGGCTCCCCTCACTGCTCCTTGCATGTCACAGTCTGACAGGCCACAATGAGACACGGCTGGGACAGGAGCACATGCCCCCAGGAAGCGGGCCTGTTGCGGGTTTAGGCCTAGAACAAGCCACATCCAAGCCCCAGACTCAACCCCTTGCAGATGCCCACATGCCCTTCCTCCCCAGCCTGCAGGTGGGGCTGCAGGGTTCTGCTGCTCCAAATCCATTCCTCCCAGGCTCCAGGACCTCATTTCACTCCCCACATCCACCTGGCTAGCTGCCCCCTGCCCTGCCTTCCCACTTTGCAGCAGAGGATCTTGAACCAAAATAGCAGCATACGGCCCTGTCTTTGGGCGTCCTGTTCTGTAGCCAAAAAAAGAGAGCCCATCGCTTCAGCCCTTGTGCTTGGGGAAGGCTAGAGGTGGCCAGCGGACCAGCCTTTCCCCCACAATCAGGATTCCGGCTACCATACGATCCCTCCCGAGAGCCACGGGAGGAGGCCTGACTTCTCCCGCTTTCCGGATTGGGGCACCTGATGACGACGTCAGCTCAGCTCTCAAACTGCGCTGTGGCCGATGGGTGGAAGCTGTCCGAAGCCAGGAGCAGTCGGCCCAGGCGATACAGCAGCCTGGAGTACCAATGCATGCCTTCCGGCTGGGTCCGCTCACCCCCTGCCAGGCTGTGGTAGAGTCGAAGGGGCCAGAAGGCCAGCTGTGCCAGGCGCTGCTCCTGCACCAGCGCAAAGCAGGATGCCACCACGTCATCCACCACCAGGGTCCCGTGGCTGGTGAGGGGGGCGTATGCCCCAACGTCCATCCGCACAGAGACAGCCACCACCCTGGCCTGCCGGATCACGCCCCCCTCTGTCACCAGCACATACTGACCCGGGTGGACCCGGCTAGCAAACATCGCCTTCGTGGGTGCTGTGGCGTTCTCCCCCACGAAAAGGAGGTGCGCCGCAGTGAGGGCAAGGCGGCGGGGTGGGTCCCGCGTCTCAATGACGTGGAAAGCAATGTGCGCCGACGACGCCTGATCCAGAAATCCCAGGAATTCACTGTATGTGGGGCGGCCTTGCTCGTCCATGGCTTGGACCCGCTGCCCAGGCCTCAGTGCCCACACTGGCATCTTGGTCCCGCTTTCTAGGGTTGCCAGTGCCCGAGCTGGAAAACAACCTCCTGTCTTTGCTGCTGCTGAATGCTCTAGACAGAGAGAGAGAGAGAGAGAGAGAAATAGAGAGAGCAGCCCAGTTACTAGGAGGAGGGGAAACTCAAACCGAGATGCACAGAACCAGTGGGGAGGCAAGCCCAGCTGGCACCCAGAGGCCAGTGCTGCGGGTGCAGGCAGAGAGGCCCGGGGCCTTTTGGGGGGAAGGAGATGCATCTGTCTCTGCAGATGGCACACTTCACACTGCGCATTTGTCTTCTTGGGCCTGGGCCTCCCATCCGGCCAAGCCAGCAGGAATGATGGGAGCTGTACGCCAAAACATTTGGAAGGCCACATCTTCCCTGCTCTAGAGTAACCAACCTATGCAGGGCTCCCCTGTGGGGACCAGCTATGGAAAACGGTGGGGCTCCTGCCCTGTGCACAGTTTGTGCCGTGCAAGCTGCACCCACTGAGCCTCCTTCCCCTAAAGGGCTCTCAAAGGGTCAGGAGCTCTGCCCATCATAGAGTCCACCTTCAGAGTGGGTGGATCCCTACACTACCAATTCCGTATTTCTTCTCCATCATCGTCACCTCCCCACCACCTCTGCCACCACCACCACCACCACCACCACCACCACCACCATCATTAAAGATGTGAATTTGTCATGGCTTTTTAAAAGAATTTTGAGCATCATCATTTGGCAAGAGTCCTAGAGGCTGATTTTGATTCCTATTCTTTCTCCCCTCAAGGGGTTTCCTAGCAAAAATGGAAAGAATTGAACTAAGCGGGAGCCAAATGCTAAAAAGGACCGGGCTCCTGCACCTTTAAGATCCGTGTGATAGAAAGAATTTTTGCAAGCATTTGCCACGCAAGGAATGCCTACGATTAACGATTCAGGAAGCCTGTCCTTTTTGCAGCACCCGGCCACTATGTGCGCTCAGTCTGTCACGCAAGCGTAACATTGCACTCGTTCAAAGAGTGACTGAATGTCATTTGTTTAGCGCTGTACAACTGTTTTCTCCAACCCAGTGCCTGCCAAATGTGTTGGGATCACGGGAGCTGCCATCCAGCAAATCTGGAGGGCACCAGCTTGGGGACAGCTGCCGTACAAGGCACACAGCAAATACCACTGGAATCTTTGGGAAAGATCCTGTTACTCAAAGGGTGAAATACTTTTTGCGGAGTAAATCTGTCTTAACCTACCCTCTTTGGGCCAACTTGGTATACCTCTAGTTAGCAGCTGCATTTCATATTTAGCTAATTCTTGGAAGTAGGCAAAGGGAGAAAGAAAGTGAATGTAAACCAAGATTCTCTTCCTTGGCCGTTAGCCTCCAGGGAAAGGGTAAAAAAGACAAGCTCCTAATTCAGGGGTGGAGAGCTTGAGGCACTCCATGTGTTTGTTCCTCTATTATATTTTTAATCCAACCAATAACGTACATTGTCTGGACTAATTTCAAATGTTGTTGGATTTCAACTCCTATGATCTGTCACCATTGGCTGTGCTAGCGAGGGCTGATGGGAGTTGCAGTACACACATTTCCTTCCTCCAAGCATATCCTGGTGGGAAGTCCCCAGAATGGAGCTCAGCAACTGATTAAGAGCAGCAGGACAGCTCTGCTCAGTAGCATATTAACATGCTTTGGACTTCAACCCCCATCAGCGGCTGCCAGCATGGCTAATGGTAAGAAATACTGGGAGTTGTAGCTCAAAACATCTGGAGGGCACTTGGCTGGAGAAGACTGTAATAGAGAGAAAAACACTGCTGAAAAAGAACCCCCAATCTCAGGAAGATGAAAGCTGCTGCTTCCCAAAGCTCACATGGCCCAGCAATCCAAGCAGTAAGCAAACACAGCACTGACAGTGGCTGAGAATACTGGTTTCTCTCTCATCCTGGCCACAAACTCTCTAAATGTGCTTAAATCAGTCACTGTCTCCCAGTACCTGCCCCTTTGTTTTGCAGGGATGCTGGGGGAATGCCGATGAAGCCCTCTGAACACTCCAAAAGCCCTTGGCATTTTGCACTGCTGAATACTAGCTTGCCCGCTTTTCTGCTATGGCAATCAGTAGCAAGGCAAAGCAGATTGCAGGCGATAGTCTCTGTGTTTACTCCAGCACCAGCTGCACTCCAGCCGGAGTTGCAAACTCCGGAGATGCCAAGATGGAAGGGCGATTTCCTCAATAGTTTGAGTGAGGCATCCGCTTGCTCTCCTCCGATGCCCATTTCACTCATACTTGGGGAACACACCAGGCTCACTCCCCTCCACATCCCACTGGGCCTTTAGTAAAGAACGGCTCTCAAACGCACAGATGGCCATGCAATCTGGGCCAGGCCTTCTCTTTGCCTGATTGTGCACCATTTGGAAGGATGGTTCCCTTCTGCTGAGAACAGCCCGCCCGGCCCTGTCCTTAGCCTTGCATCTGGCATGCTGCTCAGTTGGGAGATTGCCCCGAGTGGGATGCCCCATCAGCTGCTGCTTGCCTGGTCCATTTCCACTTGATCAAGCCACATGTGGAGAGATGTTGTCATGTGGGAAGCGAGGGAAGCTGGTGGGATAAAGCAGCTGAGACAGTGAGCTCTTAAACCACAAAATCCAACAATGCCTCAACCACAAAATCAGCAAATCTCTCTCTCTTCCCCTCTCTTTCTGATGTACTCATACAATACACCAGTGATGATACTGGCCTGTCTTACAAGCCATTGTGATTACTAAGAGACTACTTGAACTGCTATATATCAGGACGGGCAACCTGAGTCCTACAGCTCAGAACATCCTTTGGCACTGAGCGTGCTGGCTGGGGCTAATGGGCACTGTGGGGCAAAACATCTGGAGAGCTGCAAGTTGGCCATTCCTGCAGTATATTTTTGCTAAGCATTATGACAGGAAGAGGACAAAGGTGTGCAGTTTAGATGACACCATGCCATCATCCTGCCTCTGCGAATCTTGGTTGTTCAGGCTTGACCATGACTGTGTCTAAACAGTGAAGTTCCCTAATCAAACCTCTAGGACTCCAAGCATCTTTCTTATTTGAGTTTAGCACATGGACACTACAACTGAGAGGAAACTCTTGGGTCCCCTGACCAGGCATCTATATTGCAGGTCTAAAAGTCCAGTTGGGGAATACCCTTCCAGTGGGTGCCATCTAGAGTGTGAGACCATTTTCACAGGAGACACTAAAAGAGCACATATTAGTTCCATGATTTATAAATGCTGTTATTCCACAACAGTCTATGGTAAGGGGGCAAATTGACATTTTAGCCATATTCTTTCATCTGAAAGTATATGCATGTAAGCCTAAACTGGTTTTAAATTTCAGAAAAGAAAGTACTCCACACATGTTCTAGAAGACTGGCTTAATAGGCTCATATTTTGTAGGCAGGGTCAAGAAAGAGATGGATCTGGAGGGCGGGAGGGCATGGTGGTTAAACTGCTAGGCTTTGTTCTGAAAGACTGTATCTTAATAACTCAAGTCTCCATGAAAGGGCAAATTTACATTTTAAAAGGCAGCATGATCTTTTTTGTTTTCAGAGATGAGGAGAAAGCAAATCTATTTACAGAAGTGATATGGAGGCAGACATACCAGGCCACACAATGGGTACAAAAATAAAGACCATTTAATAAGGTACTTATGGCAGGCCAGCTGCCCAGGATACACACCATTTCCAGTCACAAAGAAGTCCTCAATTAAACCATAAAGTCTGATTCCAACCCACACTATGTAACATGGGCCACGGGCATCTTGTCCATACCAGGTACACTCCACTATGCAATGTCCTACACCATCCATCCTAAAATCCTGAAGCAACACCTTCTCTTAGGTTAGCTTTGCCTATGTGCCAGTTCCCATCCTTAGCAAAACCTGATGTTGGCTCCCAATCAGCCTCTCCCCCCTTCAAAGTTGTTGTCAACCCCTCCCCCAGTCCCTATCACTTCCAGCAATCCATAGCCATGAGTCCCAGGGGAGTCCAAAAACACAGGCAGCTCTGCTGAATCCTATCAACAAACCAGTTCTAGGAGTTTTCTTCTGCTAGGAGCAGGACTTTTGTAAAGCTAGCTCATCTTAATTGCCCTTTCAAGATCAAGCCATCCCAAAATACTTTACATTACAAGAAACAACCTACTGTTGCTGGGGAAAATTATCTCCCGCTCCCCAGCTACTGTGAGAATTGCAGCTAAGCTAACAGGGAACAGAGAATCCCAAGGAGGATGGCAGATGTCCCTGCTGGTAAAAAAATACTGGTGCTGCATCCCTGCAAGCTCGGGAACCAACACACCACTGCATACTCCCCTCCTAGGAGTCAGGAACGGCTGGAAGAGCAGGACTTCCCAGCCTTGGGCATCTTGTAACATTACAACATCCATTCAGGCAGTGGGCATCCAGAAGCAGGCACGGCATCCCAGCAGTGTCAACGAGAACAACGAAAACCACTTTCCTGCTCCTGCTAGTGGAGCTCAGAGGAAGTGGATTAATGCACAGTCTGGAGAGATCCGGGCAGTCCAGGATCCCAGCTTGGCAGGGTACAGATCATGGCACCCAGTGAAACCATTCGGCCACTCCTGTATCCATCTAACTTGCTGTTTTGTAGATTTCAAGGCTTTGGGTACCCAAAGTCCAAGGAGGCAGAAGCTGTTTGACAATGTCTCTTGGCCACTTGGCTGGGAAAGCTCCGTCGACCAGGAGAGCACCAAGTGGCACAGTCCAGATTAGTGGTGCCAGAGAGGAGGGGACTGTGGTCCACTCTGGCTGGCTGGACCAATCTCCTTCTCCAGCGCCGTTCACTCCTGGCATGCCGCAGTCAAGACCGGTGGAGATTCGGCTGCTGGGCCAAGCACTGTGTAAGGTCAAGGCTGGGCAAAAGCACATCCTTCCCATCAGCCAGAGACCCTGTGGGTCTGGAAAGAGCCGGGCACCAGCAGGTCATGCTAATGGTCAAAGGACAGGAACAAGAGGCCACAGTCAAAGCGTGGTACTCTGGCCAACAGGGGGAACCCTGCAGCACCTAGCCCCAACAGACAAGTCCAGCCCCTGCTGCTTTCCTCTGTCATTACTGAGGCTGAGCCAACACTCTTCACTCTGGCAGAAAGGGCCAGCCCTGTTAAGGGAGTGTTTCCAGGACAGCCTTCCTCAACCCAGTGCTCTCCAGAGGTTTGTGGCTGCAACAGAGCCAGGCTCTGCTGGCTGGGGCCCATGGGAGCTGTCCAAATATCTGAGCTGGCTCCAGGTGGAAGAAAGCTCCCACAGGCAAGGCATCCATAGCTCAGCAGCTGGATAGCAGCACAGGTGTTCCTGGCTCAGGCCCACTGGGAGAACCCATGAGGGGGAGCAAGGCCGAGCTAAGATGGTCTGAACCCTAACATAAGGCAGGGAGTTACAGCCAGTGTTGCCCTTCTGAAAAGAGGGGAAGTGGGGAGTTTCTGTTTTTCGTCTTTCCCTGCAGCACTTGCTACACTGCTTGAGGGAAGAATGGTGGGGCGGGCAGGTCTTGAGGAGGTGGAACTGACAAAAAAAACTCTTCTCTTCCCTTTCTTAAGCAAAGGCTTCAGCTAACCCTTCCATTAATGGAGGGACAACACTAGAGTCTTGGTCAAGACTGAAAAGGAGAGGCTGTGTTCCTCCAGTGCCAGAACTGATTAGATCCTTAACATAACATTCCATCAGCTGTGATGACAGTTTCTAGAAACCATACGCAGCAAGAGTGGAGTAAGACACTAGTCCTCTTGGCTCACAGTGACACAACCAGACAAACTCACAAAAGGACGTGGCATTCTAGGGACCTTACAAGCCACCCACTACCACCATTGTCCCAAGCCCGACAGCTCCTCATTTGTGCCAGTCCTCCTCATTCCTGACCCAGAGATATTCTCCCCAGCTCTATCACTGCTGATGGTCCTCAGCCCCACCTCACAGCTGGGCCTTACCAGATTTAACAGAGCAGTGGATGTGAGCCTTAGACTCATAGTAGACCCAGTCGAAGCCGGCCTCCACAGCCAAGCGTGCCAGCATCCCGTATTTGTTGCGGTCACGGTCAGAGGTGGTGATGTCGACCGCCCGGCCTTCATAATGCAGAGACTCCTCCGAGTGGTGCCCATCTTCGTCCCAACCCTCCGTCACGCGCAGCTTCACCCCTGGCCACTGGTTCATTACGGAGATGGCAAGGGAGTTTAGGCGATCCTTGCAGCGCTATTGGGGGAGAGGGGACAGAAAAGGAAGGAGTCAGCACTGCACGCCCACGCCTAGAAGAGAGCAATCCTGAGTCGAGTGCACGGCACAGCAGGCACAGTCACAGCAACACAGACAGCTCCTGGTCTACTCATGTGCAACAGAATCCTGAAGCAGAAGCAGGGGCTGTACCCACTTCGGACAACTAATGGAAGTTCCCTTTCAGGAATGCTCTCAGTGCTGAATAATTACAAACTACCACTACCCTGCAAATAAAAAACTTGTCCATCGGGGGGAAAATAAAACTCATTTGACTCACTATTATAAAAAAATAAGTGCACATCAGGGAGAAAGGTAAAATAATTGGAAAGAGAAAATAAACATAAGGAGAAAGCTCAGCTATTATGATTGCATTGAAAATAATTGCTTGCTTGCTTTAACACCACAGAACAATTAAAAATGAATTTTTCTAACTGCACTTTGAACTGATATGGTCCATTCTATCACCAATGGACTCACATTATGCTTAGAGTGTAAACTAGGTTTTACTCACATGGAAAGAGTCTGCAGTTCAGAAATAATTTAAACCTAAGCTGTTCTTTGCTGGATTTGACAGACTTGAATAAAACCCAAGAAAGCAAAAGATCTCCTCTTCTAAAATCAAGTCGCATTTTGAGACTGGCAGCTTCACCCAGCTGGCAGCCATGCGACCATTTCTGAACCTCAATCCAGCTTCCATCTCAACCATCAAGCACACAGGTCAAGGTACCAGGCTATCTTAAAAAGGGCTTCTCCCAATTACTATGGGACCCTCCTGTTAGCTTTATTTCCCCTGCTCTTTCACTGCTCTCTGACACATGCCCTCTGCTGGCTTATAATAAAGAAGAATTCTCATTTTTGGAGGTATGTCAAGAAGATTTTCTCACAGCCTACAAAGAAAACTAAATATGTGGCACACATTAGAAGATTCACACAATCCCAAGTTCTAGGTAAGCAAAAAGTGAGTCATTTTGGGCCCCTCAGATTCTTCCCTAGAAATTTCCACTGCTTAAAAAAATGATGTAAATCATTCTAATTTCTGGCCTGTGTCTCTTTTACATGAGTTCATTCATAAATCTGTTCCCTTTCTGCATTAATCAGTAAATAAGTCCACATGAAAATGTGTTCTTAAATACACAGACACATTCTAGCTATATTTCTCTCAAAACACCTCTGAATTTCCAGAGGGACAGCTGTGCTAGTTTATTCTGGAAAATGGAGCAAAGTTCCTTATAGAACTTTAAAGGCTAACAAAAAGTAGACAGAATTATCATTACGCAAAAACAAAATACTAACAGTGACAAGTAATAGGACAGGACTGATGTTTTTACAAACATCATTTGAAGGACCTTATTCTACCCTGGCTCTAAGATCTTCTGAGGAGGCCCTTCTCTTGGTCCCACCGCCCTCAAGGCATGTTTGGTGGGAAGGCAGGATAGGGCCTCCTCAGTGGCTGCCTCAAGGCTCCGGAATTCCTTTTGTGGGGAGGCTAGGTTGCCACCCTCCTGATTATGTTCCCAAAAGCAGGCAAAACCCTCTTTGTTTCAGCAGGCATTTGGGAATGGTCTGGGCCTGTGAGTTTGTGCTGGACTTGTTTTGCTGTCTATATTATTTTTAATGTTTTTCATCTGAGTATTTTGTACAATTTTAATATTTAACTGATTTAATTATGTTTTAACGTTTGTGTATTTCTTTGAGTAACTTGTATGTTTTTAATGTGGTGAGCTGCCTTGAGTCTCAATCACTGGGAATAGGTAGGATATACATAAATAAAACATGAACAGTAGTAATAGTGATGATGAATCCTTTACACCAGGCATGAGAAGACTTCAAGCTTGTGGGATCTACTCTGTGTTTTACTAAAACCCATTAGTCCACTAATTAGAGCCATATACAAATTAATATGGTGAGGGCCCTGAGCCAATAGAGTGTACAGAGCTACATCTGAATTACAACAGCTCTAGATCATAACATAACCCTTTCAATGTAACTACTAGAACTACAGGAAGACCTGCTCAAAGGCAACCAATTTGCATGATACAGGTGAGGAAGACCTCAGGCTAAGAAATAGACCAGCAGGTGGGGGTATACCTGCTCCTGATACAGCCAATGAGGCAACAGCTTTGAAAATTCATTCATGGACAGAGGGGGGTTTTTTTCTTTATTATGTTTTTCATGTTTTCTTTCTTGGGTGCCTTAAGGTGCAATCCTATGAAGAGATGGCTGGGTAATGCTAGAAGTAATAAATGTGCATAGGATTGCCTTCTTAATGCCTTGGTCCAGCCAGCCTGTGTTTCTGTGCAAGCAAGACTGGTTCCTTTTTTGCTTAAAGCAAGCAAGCACACAAACTTTTAACACATGGGTGTTCACAAGCAAACTTTTGTCAGTCAGTGGGTTGGGCTTTGTTCATTTGTTCTGCAAAGCTGCAGAGTTCACACTTTACAGGCAGGGATTAATAATTTCTGTGGAATTCTGATATTGAGAGCTCCATATTGGTACTGTTTACACAGAGTATTAGTCATATTCTATACTATTGCAAAGTACAACAGAAGAGAAAAACAATAACAGAGGGAACATATTCAAATAACGACTATAAGCCATTTCAAAGGCTAAACCGAAAAATGGCATTTGTTTATTAGCATTACCAGATATAATTTGCTCTAAGAGGATACTTATCTGTGCAAACATGCCATGCTCCCTTTCCCCACAACCAGGATCTTCCTGCTGTGTGATCCCATTTCCCCTTCCTGTCCTATCATGAACCTCACTAGTTTTGTGTAGATGTAAATGAGTCATGAATTGTCATCTGTGGACCAGTTGTTTAAAATACTGCTTTACATTTTCCATTGAACTCTTGTGCTGTTTTATTTCACTTGGGGTGCTGTGTGTATTTTACTATATTGCACAGATTGTTATTCGCCACCCGGAGAGCTTCAGCTATTGGGTGGTATAAAAATGAAATTAAACAAACAAGCCCTTCTTAGGGACAGCAGCTCCCTTAGTTCCTTGCAGGAAGCCAGAGGAGTGATAAAGGTTCAGGCAAGCAACCTGGCACACACGGCTGCAGCGCTTGCACATACTTTTCAAAAAGTACAATGTGGAAAGCGTTCTTGGGATGGAGCGTGATTCCAAGCTACAATAAGGCAGCCAGGCCCCTCCAAGTGACCTTGGAACGTGGCCAACAGTCTGCAAGGAAGGATGAAAGGCCTCTTCCCCCCAGTGCCCTCCACTCCTTAGGTCACATTCAGATCAGCCTTGAGAAGAGGGCGAAGAGCAGCACGCGGATGAAGTAAAGCCTCCCCACAGCCAGAGGAAAGGTCGTACGGCCAGGACTGGCCTTTGTCCCCAGCAGATCAGGGCAGGCCCAGCACAAAGGGCTATTCCAGTTTCTCCAACCAAACACACTACTTGTTTGTTCTGGGCCCCAGAGATAAGGTGAGACAGAAGGCAACAAACAACTCACATGAAAGCAGGAGAGACCTGTTGATCCCTTGAAACAGCCAACTATTGGAAAGGTGACTTGGCGCTACGCGGCTGCGTTCCTATCCCAGCGTATTGGTTCCTATTAGACAGTCTGTAATAACAGGTACCAAACAATCCCATCACCTTAAGTGTTCCTCCTGCAGAAGTAGCTAATAAGACCCATGGACAGATCAAGCTGCCTCTGCTTTCTGGCATCTAGGATGACATTCCCAACCTGGTGCCCTCCAAATATGTTGGGCTGCAGCTCCAATCATTCCCAGCCAACATGTCCAGTTGCAGCTGGGAATGATAGGAATTACAGTCCAACACATCTGGAGGGCACCCAGTTGTAGAAGTCTGGTCTGCAACAAACCAGGAGTGCATCTTCTAGTCCTTAGCTCATGAGATGGCAGGACCCTAGAGTGTAATTGTAAAATACCACTCTTGAAATAGAGTTGCACAGATGCTGGCAGACACACAGAGATGCTTCTTCCTTTTAATATGAGATCCCAAAAGGGAGTCTGCATTCATGTAATCCAGTGCAGCACTTAAAAACATTTTACCCACCTCTGCAATTGAAGTTTGGCTTACAGACCATTCCACAAAGAATAGGCACTGCACACATTCCCTGCCAGATTCATATCCCTCCATGTTTATACCATATTTCCAGATCAGTGTGTGAGCGCATAGGTGAATCCTACGACCAGTTAGAACTGAGCCACATTCTGGCTAGTTCCAGCTGGAACCAGCAGGTGTCAGGGTAGAGCTGCAAAGGGAAAGCTGCCCTGGCATGCAGGCACAGAGATATGAGGCTGGGGCTTTACTCCCCGACTGCCAGCATGTCCCAGAGATGTCGGGGCTATGACATTCCCCTGGGCAATGCCAATAAGGAAACAGTTACTCTCCAAAGCGAGCCATATGCACACATACTGGGTGCTGCTGTTGCTGGGGTTACTGGACCACAGTGCTGCATTACAGGGATGTCAAACCAACTAGGAAGAAAAGAGGAGATGAGCAAACGAAATAGCTAGCCTGGGGGCCCAACAAATCCACTCAGGCCTAACTGCATATGGTCTGCATGTGAACAGAAAAAGAATGGCATTTTTCCAACCAGGCCAGGGAACAGAAATAAATGCTCGTACGCAGAGAAGGAGCAAGCCCTGAATGCATGACAGACATTCTAGAGGAAGGATCAGTCCTGACAGTTAAGTAGAGTGTGGTTGCCACTTCATGCAACAGACGCTGGGGGGGTGGGGGCGCTACAAGCAGGGCAACTCCCTGTCGGCTCCTCTTCCCAAACTTCTATATCCTACCCCATCTTCCACCATTCCCCTCTGCTGGAGGTTCAAGCTACAGCTGCCATGCTAGTCTGCTCCCCCCAGCACAGTGGATGAGACCATTTTCTTGTCAGTGCTGAGGTTCAGCTGCCTGTCTGTGAAGCGGGAAAGGGATCATGCCCTTTCCCTCAGGCAGAAAAACGTCTTGAGCCAGCCCTGTCTCCCTGTCCACAGGGAGGGGGT